TCGTGTTAGACTAGGAGATACGTATTTTTTGATTCTTGGTTTTTTGTTTTTCTGTCATTTAATTGTTTTATTAGTAGCTAAAGGAAGTGGCGCTGGAACCAGCTTGACGCGAGCTATAATTTTTACGATTTTTAATTGTTTACAGCTCGTACGAAAGTCCATCGATTTCGATGAAATTTTCAACATACATATAACTTACCGAGATCTACGAAACAAATTTTTTAAATTTTCGTTGTAGGTTAAGAAGTTAAAAAATAAGAGTATTTTAGCTTCTTTTATCATTCTAAGCAATAGCAACCCTTAAAAATAGCATTCTAGTTATGGTCTGGTAGACTGGTCGCTCTACCATGTCTAAAAATATTCAAATCGTTTAGTCCAGCTCTAAAAAAGTTATTGCGTTTCTTTTTTGTAGTGTCAGAATATTAACGGATGTCATTGCATTTACATTCCGTAAGAAGTTCGCGATTGGCACAACTTCGGACATTTCGCGCAACCGCGAAAGGGCGTGACCGATCTTGTTGTTTGTGGCACGCGTTTTTGAAACTTAAATCATAGGGGAAAGGGTTGAAAGATATCGCTTAACGATTCGATCGATTCGACCAACTCGAAGCGTTAACCGTATCGTTGTCGCGAGAACGTTTCGCAACAGATCGCGTCAGCCACAGTATTGCTTCAAACTATCGAACACTTTCCCAGCGGGGTTAGCTACGGGTTTCTCGACGATTATTGGAGACCGAGGTCAATTAATATCTCGTTTTCGACAGAAGCCTTCGAACCGCATACAAACGACTCGGCTGGTGCTCATTTTCAGGATATCCGACTTGAGCGTCCGCGCTTCCAAATGCGATAAAAGCCAGCGAATTTTCCTTGGGAATAATTCCGGGGCTCGCGACGTGCGGCACTCGAAACTGCTGCCTTGGGGAAGCTCCAGGATTAATTTCCGGCGACCAGTGGAACGATAAGCTCGACCCTGCGAGCGAGTTTCGACCGGAACGACCGGAATGAACCAAGCATGGCCGCAGATTGCTCGGCGAGCCGGTGCGCTGGCTCCTGTGAACTCGAGGGCCACGAGGCCACGCCTCCAGGCTTTACCACGCCTACAACATATATAAAGAAAAACCTAATATCAGGCTTAATATAATATCATAATATTATATATTATTTATTAACCCGGATATATTATTTATCATTCCGGAGTATCCGTAAGCCGGCTTTTCGACTCTGAAAAATCGAGAAGAAAGAAACCACGCTCAATATTGACGGATAGATCAGAACATAACGCCGTTCGAGCTCTTCGGAGCTTACAAACGCGGAATGTATCTCTTTCTCCGATTTAATTCCGCGTCGTTGCCGTCGCGGTGGCAATGGTTCCCTGTCCCGGCTCGTTGCTCGAGTCTAGAACAGAGGAACGCCCTCTTTTTATTCGGTATCGAGGCAGCGTTCCACGTTCGCAGCCGATTTATCGAATAGGGATTTTATTTGCCGGGAACGCGAACTCGGTTCGTTAAGAAGTACGCGTAGGAGAGATTGAAATTTTAATGGAGTCCGGTTGCGCGCCGAATCCAATTCCTCCGATCGGTGGCCGTTCGTCCGGAGAACGTTTAATTACGAAATTGTATCCCGCTCGCGAGGAAACCGAGCGGTTGGTTGGGAACGGTCGCCGTAAAACTTTAATCAATCCGAACGAAACTTTGATACCGAACCGATCCTTTAGCCAGAAGAGTTCCCCGTCCGTCTTCCGCCGCGGATCAAGCAAAACGACCCGCGAACGGGGCGGCACGCGGCGGAGGTTAGCATTACGCGGCCAAGTATCTCCGAGATTGATTATCCCTCAGCTGATCGCCGGGAGCGAGCGGATGCGCGACGAGGCCTCGCGACCAGGGATACCAATTACAGAAAAACCCGGCCAGCCGGCCCTGGAATCGTTTACGACCGCTTCCGAGGTATCTCGCTGATTAGATTATGGCTAGATTAGGATCGGCCGATGCCAGCCGAAGCGCTTATGAATTCCGAAGACGACCGCGGCGCATAAATTTTCCTTACGCGTTTCTTTTCCCCGTGCGCGGAACATGATTCCAATGATTAGCTGAACCGGTCATCCTGGGCAACAGTCATCAAGAAGCCGAAGACTGTTGCGCTCTGGAACAGGAAAAGCCACTTCGTCTCCGAGAGCGTTTCCAGTTGCCAAGTGGCTTCGAAATTTCCCCCCCTCTGTTCTTTCCACCGAGTCTTTAGCAAATATATAAGGATCGCCTGGAACCTGATCCGTCGAATCGTTGCGTCGAGATTTTGCAGAGATTTCAATTAAAATAATCGAGCCGAAGAGAAGCGAAAGATGCGACGATCTCGTGCCTCCGCGAACGAACAAAGAGAACGTTTTCTCGGATGGAAATAGAAGAGGCGGAGGAGAGAATCGGCGAGAAGATTCGCGAGCATTCGTCGCGGAGCGGGTTTTCGTTGACGTACGAAGGTTACCGGGAGTCCTTGTCGCTGTGGAATTCGAAGGGCCAGGGCGGCCTTGGGACTCTACTTGGTATCGGCGGCCGGTCCTCTCCAGATGGTGCACGAGGTCAAGCAAAAAGAACTGCGAGCGCCGAGGAGAGTCCGGACCTACCACCGCACGGACCGCCTCGCTGTTTCTTTTCTGCGGCATTACGCCTCCGCCGCTCTCGGTCCATTCCGTTTTTCCATTTATTCCTGCCGGCGAGTCGCGAAATCGCGTAATCCGTTCCCTCCGCTGCCCTCTGCTCTCTTTCCCGATCCCTTTCCCCCTCCTTCTTCTCTCTCTCTCTCTCTCTCTCTCTCTCTCTCTCTCTCTCTCTCTCTCTCTCCCGGTTCGCCTAACTCCCCTCCGTGGCGCGTTGCGAAATGGCAGGCTGACATTTCGAACGCTCGCGACATCGACCGAACCGCGCCGCTTCATTGTGTAACCCCGATTATCCGTCGGACTTCATTGTCGAGGAGGAATCCGCGCGTGGGACGCGCTCACGGTTGCCTACTTTGTTCCGACCCGCGACATTTCGTCCAAACGAAACGGCACGAGCTTTCGAACCGAGATTCTATTAGCTCCTCAGTTTCCTCCGGCGCGTGGCCCGTTTACAACGCGCGACAAGCTTTTACCCGGGAACACCGGACTCTCGGTACAACCCGCGCGACCCGCGCAGAAACTTTTCCACTCTCTCGCCGAAGAAAAGCTTCTTCCCGGAGAACGTTTACAAACTTGCCGAGCGGTCGACCGCGAACCTCTTGGCTTCCCGACCTGTGTCCTTGTTCGCGGAACCTTTCCAAACTCCGACAATCCGAAACAGAAGCCGGAAAGCCGATGGAAACGGGATCGAAGCTCTTTCGTTAACCCTCGAGAGCGAGAACTCGTTTCCTACTTGTACATGCCGTAAGATGGTCGCCATTTCGTCGGACAGCATTTTCTTATCGAAAATACCGCGAAGACTATTTATCTGGTTCCGTCGAAGTCGAGGGCCAGGGAACCACGCCTACCGAGAACAGACCACGCCTCCTCTGCACAGAGAGAGAAAGAGAGAGAGAGAAAGAGAAAAAGAGAGTAAAATAGATAGTTTCCTATCGTTTCCCCTGCTGCTATTCGTTCGCTAAATTCTTACAGAAATTCCAAATTCTTACTTGCTAAATTCTAAGCGTCGATAGGTCTACGGGAGGCACTTTTGACCACGAAGCCACGCCTCCAGAATGCTTCTGCAGCAAGTAACTCGTATACAATGCTTGAAGTTACATAAAGCGGCGCTTGCAGTGCGCGACACCCCAAGAGACCTGTAAAAATGATACCGAGAACAAAATCACGCTACTGTGACACTTAATTAACCCTTAGCGCTCCGAAGGCTCCGCTACGGAGACATTTGTCATTTGTTCCGTAACTCCGAAGGCTCCGCTGCGGAGCCAAATGTTTTTAGCATACGTTATCGTTGGCGTTAACAATTGTTATCTGTAGTCTAAATGTGCTAAGTCTGTACCATTACGATTAAACCATTTTTTTACCTTTTCTATGGTTAGCAACACGGAGAAAAATAAATATTATGATGAGAATTTAGAGCCGAGTGATACCGAAGACGTATTTGATTTTGAAGAGTTAAAAGACATTGTGGAAGACAATGTTGGTTATGATTCTGACACTTCAAGCAGTAGTAGCGAAATTATACTACCAAAGAGACGAAGAATGAAAACTATTGAAAGTGAAAGCGAAGATTCGTTGCAAGACTTAGATGAACGGCGTGATGTTACGGAAGAATTACATATTCCAGATAGAATACCTTTTAGTGTATTGTCACAGGTCATTGGACCAGAAATTTCTACAAACATTGAATAGCCGATACAATATTTTAAATTATTTTTCACGGACGAATTGGTAAATGAAATTACAAAGGAAACCAACAATTACGCAGAAAGAAATATCTAGTAACTCTATTTGGCAAAGTGAATACTGTGACACTTGTCCAAGTAAACCCAGAATGCACGTGGGAGATTGTTACCAAAGATATCACATCATGGTGAATTACAAAATTAAAAATTTATCTTTTATTTACAATAGGAAAATGTATACTTATAAAATAAATCAAATATATCAAATGCATTCACAAGGACGTGTAATCTTTTCCGCACAAAATAAGACTTCCTTTATCTCAGGCGCTCCGCTCCAAAAATTTGCCGGAGTTGCTGGTAGGAAGTACTCGAGAAACGCGCGGAGCTCTAAGGGCTAAAAGCTAACGCATCTATTGACAGCTAGGCGACGCCGCTAACATTTCGCTAAAATATAAGGAAACTTCAATTATAAAACATATAGTCGGAGTGTCGAACACCCCGCTCGACCGTTCTAGAGTTAAATAGAAACCCGTCTACGATGCTGTAACCGTTTTCGACGAATATGCATAGCTAGCTACCGCCTCGTTACAGGAATCCGTACAATAGAGCGATAGTTTTAGTCGTAAGCATTCGCTACTGGATTACCTGATGAACTCTTGATTCTGTTTCAGTTACCAGTGGGCGGGGGTGGTGCTGTGCTGGTGCTCAGCGAGCTTGAAAGCATGGCGGCCAGGCAACAGCGGGAAATTGCCCAGCAGAGACGGCTCCTGGAGCAGAGAGAGGCCCGTCTAGCCGTGCTTCGAGGCGCACAGGTGAGAGATGAGACCCTCTTTCCCTCGGCTCGCTCCCTCGGCCGAACGCGGAAATCGTTCTGGAAATTGCTCGACAAAGCCGCGGTAATGTCCCTCGCTCTTGTACCCGATGCGTTTCGCTTCCGTCTGGCGACGAAGTCGGCTTCCGTAGCCGATCCCGGCGAGCCCAGACGCGCCTTTCCACGGCGAAATTCTCCTTCGCAACCTCGCCCCCCGTTATCCCCGGCTCGATTTATCGCCGAGTTTCGCGAAACGCGGGTCCCGGATGTCCTGGAGCGCCGTGTTAAATGGATACACGGTAACGAACAACCGAAGGGCTGTAAAGGGACGCGGGAAACTGCCGTTCGGTACCTTCCAGCTATAGTTACAGGTGTCTCCTCTGGAGAACAATGATTCGGGCAGCTAGGATCGTCTGCGCGACAATGGGGCGTGAAAACGACACGTTGATACTGATACACTGACAAATACTATTGTTGTTCATTCCCTGGCATTCCCCTTTGCTCGGGGAAACACGATTCACTATGACGCAGCCAGCTGTCTTTGAAATGGCCTAGGCCCACGCAGTTGGATTTTCAGTCGACGAATTTTCTTTGAATTTGAGAAACTGTTCGGCGCCGCTGTCGCTAGGAAATTACACTTTGAAGCGATTAATTCGAATGGTCCATTATGTGTTAGTGTGTATTCCTTTACGCCGAGTTTCCGCGTGTTGATCTTTTCCGCCGAACGGCAAACACACAAATAAGGACAACCGAATAGTTCGGTATTCGCGAATGCGCAAACAGATTGTTTAGTCTTCGAGCAGAGTTTGCTAAATAAATACAGTCGATCCTCCTACAGCGCGGTACTTTGGGAACACGTTTTCGATGTAGCACGCCGTGAAAATTGCGGCAGTCCTTTTGTAACGCGATTTATGTCTGGCAGCAGAAACGTTTCCATCGCGCCATCGTTCTTGTTGACAGTAGCGGGACAATCGCTTTGTACATAGCATACTATATGATGCTATTGTAGCGCGTAGCTTGTCCTTGCTGGAAACTAATTCAGTGAACGATTGATCGTTCACTTTAGTCGTGTATTAAGATAATCATTAATCAGTTAGCTTTGACGACTCCTTTTCAGAGCGCGCATTTATGTGTGTCGCGAGAATCAAGCGACGACGAGTATACTCGTCAAACACAATGGAAGTGTCGCTGTTAAAATATTGGATCAAAAAGACGGTTTTATTTGATAAAATTAACAATTTTATTACTAATATTTACTTATTCACTTGACGTTAACGTATACTATATACATAAGAAACGAAAAACCCAGGGATAATCAAATACTTATAAAAGTTAAAAATTCAAATTGCTGCTGTAGAGAGAGTGGTATTTAGCAAAGCAAGGAACAATATATAATGGTACTTTGCACGTCGAACACCAACACCGTGGTTCTTTTCTAATTTTATTTTTATAACAATGTAAACAACTTCGTGTAGGATTGGCCTAAAAATATTCTGAACATCTTGAAATTTGAGAATATGTTTTTGTTTTCCTTAAAATTACAATTTAAATAGCCAATGTTCACTACTTCTCACGCACGACGAGTATACTCGTCGTGTCACAAAATATTGCCATTTCTCCATGACGAGTATACTCGTCAAACACAGCTAACTGGTTAAGTAAAAGAACATTTGATTGATTTAATCTTCGTTTTATCTGACAAGTATGTCCGACAAGTTCTCAGCATTCCTGCAATCTGTGCTTTCGATTTGTTTTTCTTATATGAAATCATTAAAAATACTTCGAATGAATTTTTCGGATCTTTGCCGTTTGGAAATTTCTCGAAATATTTGACAGAGCCCACGAACACACCCACGAACGCGTTTTCGATACAACACGGGGCGAATCTGTCGTGTTAGAAGAGGGTCAACTGTGTTTTCTTGACAGCTGGAGAAGTCGGTTTGCGGTTGTCACGCTGTGGAGAAAAAGCGAGCGGAACGAATAAATTGCAAAGAGAAATATCATAGCGTCCTGCCCCACGCAAAAATGAACCACCGCGAGTTTGTTGGTTCGGGATTGAATCGCGCGAGAACACCAGCTGACGGATCGACTCGACATTTTCCATGTATCCGTGCAACGGATCGGATTAGCATACGCGTTGCTAACAGGCGTTCCGAATTTCAACCATGTTCCCGAGAGAGAGAGAGAGAGAGAGAGAGAGAGACGCGGCCCGATTCGGCCCGCTAAAAACCAGAAGGCGTGCCCGATCCGAACGAGGACGCGAAACGATTAAATTAATAAATCAAGTTCGCGTATCGAACGGCTGTTTTCCGACTGACTTTTCGAACGACTGAGTTTCGGGAAACCAATTTGACTGCCGGCGCTGGCCGTGGGCCGAAGGATAACAGCGCGTCGAACGATCGCTACGAATCGGGGGCTGCTCTGTGGCCGATAAAAATCACGGCGCCCGGGCGATCGAAGACAGCGAGCTGGACCGTAAAGACATCACCGCGAACGTAAAGCTCGCAAACGATCCGCCGTTTTCCATCGGGCATATTGTTCCGCGAGCCGTGCATAGCGCGGAGACACGGAGACTTCCGTCCGCGAGGAATCGGAAAGGCTGCGGCCATGAATAATTCAATGTAATGATAGATTCGCGGACAGTTTATGCCTATTATCGGCGGGATCACCGTCGGATCGCTCCGCGGAGGATCTCTGTTCGCGATCGTAATGGCCACCCACCGGCTTCGGGCTCTCCGCGGGCCAATTTAGACCGAAGTCCGGGGGACTCGTTCGTGACCGGGTCCGCGAGCGGAGCTAAGCCCCGAGCGGAATTTATCGCGCGGCGTAATGCAGCGTAAACGTTGCCCCGAGTCTTCCGCGGCCGGCGAATATTTCGCGCGGAGGCGCGCGCGTTTAGCTCGCCTAATCTTGAGTTACGGGTTTAAGCCCGTCGCGGGGAGACTGCTACGGCCGTGCTGACTCGCGTCGCGCGACCAAATCTGCTTAGAAAACGATTTATCACGCGCCATCGCGGCGAACCAGTCGTCCCCGATTTTTCCTTGGTTTACCACTTAGCCGGCGCACAACTTCATTTCTGCGCCCGTAGTCCAGAGATTAGCGTCCCCAGGGAACGCGTTCGGCTGGCCGCGTGAAAACTCGAGCCCCAACTCGATCCATTCGCCGCGGGAACGAAAAAATCGGGACGCGCGACGAGGCTCGCTCGCCGACCGTTAGGTTGACCTTGCAAACGGTGGCCTTGACATTAAACGGAGAACCAGCCGGGCCATCTTCTACGCAGGAAACGCGATAGATCGATAGAGCGCGGCGATTACGTCGCGAAACGACACGCGGAATGGTTACCCGGTTCCAATGCCCGAGAGTTCGCTCCCAGCGAGACCTAGTTTCGCCTGGGATCCTCGTCCTTCGCCCTTTCAGCATCCCTACGTTCGTTTCAACCGGTTTCATCGTGCGAAAATCTTGGAAGTTTATCCCCCGAAGGATCCAGGATCGAGGATCGACGTTATCGAAGCAGCCGCCTTAGTCTGTTCAAGTACCATTTTATGCGGCTGGATGAAGTCTGCTTCAATACCTGAACCCGGTTACAGGTTCTCCGCATGAGTCTAACGAGGTGCTGGGATCCTCGTAACGATGTGTCTTCTCGCGTGGAAAGGGCACGATCTCCGTCAGTCGTTTTTTCTAAAGAACTCGTCGACTTCTCGAAATGTTACCTTTTTCGTCCGAGGAGTAATATCTACTAGGAGTAGATATTGCAGCTCGATTTTATAATAGTTGACAATTCGTTACTATAAAAACAAACCATAAAGCTCGAACAATCTCGTCGAATAATCGCAGAATCTGAGCGTCAGTTAGGGAGACACTACTGTACAGTAATGTCTCCCTCATTGACACTGGGATTGCGCACGAAAATGGACAATTTGGGAAGAGAAGACAAGATCATTCGAGCCTTGCAGCTCGATTTTATAAACGTTGACAATTCGTTACTATAAAAACAAACCATAAAGCTCGAACAATCGCGTCGAATAATCGCAGAATCTGAGCGTCAGTTAGGGAAACATTACTGTACAGTAATGTCTCCCTCATTGACACTGGGATTGCGCACGAAAATGGACAATTTGGGAAGAGAAGACAAGATCATTCGAGCCTTGCAGCTCGATTTTATAAACGTTGACAATTCGTTACTATAAAAACAAACCATAAAGCTCGAACAATCGCGTCGAATAATCGCAGAATCTGAGCGTCAGTTAGGGAAACATTACTGTACAGTAATGTCTCCCTCATTGACACTGGGATTGCGCACGAAAATGGACAATTTGGGAAGAGGAGACGCGATCATTCGAGCCTTGCAGCTCGTTTCTATAGTTCTTGACAATTCGTAACTATAAAAACGAACCGCAAGGCTCGAATAATCGTATCTCCTTTTCCCAAATTGTCCGTTTTTGTAGACAATCTGAGCGTCGGTTAGAGAGACATTACTGTATCGACAGTTGTAAACGATGTCGCTGCTCCCTTGCTAGTCTGTTTTTGTTCGACAATCGAATAATTTGAATTCGTAAACGCGAGAATGCAGGAAGTTATATCCGATCTCCGGTCACTCCACTTTTCGAATCATCGATTTGCAACGGCTATTTTCAGTTGAAGTACCAATTGTCCTTAATGAAAGCGGCCGGGCCGGATTTTTCTCGAGAGACACGTGTGCTCGGCTCTCGTCGATCTTCTGGAGGGCCGATGGGTAAAGAGCCAGTCTCTTCTTCGGCGATAATAAGCAGATTAAACGAGACCGGGGGATATCTGCCGGCTGCATCGACCTGCCTCTCTCGGCCAGTAATCTCGCGCGCACCGATACAGCACGCTGATCGCGTTAGTAGCGAGAACGGTGTATAATATAGGTGTGTTCGCTCCCTCTGATTATCGTGAAAAATTTTGATCCATCGAATGAGGTAGTTCGCAGTTTAGTTACCAAGTGGCATACGAATAACGAGCCTATGCAGAAGCTAAAGTCGCATGCGAGGTATAAAACTAAACCTGACACCCGACGCATTATTTTGCGATCTTAAATTATTTAAAAATTCCGTTTTATAACTTAACACTGGCATAACCCGGCATTACCCCATTTCAGCGTGACGCAGAATAAAAGTAAAAATTGTCTGCGGCAACTACAAAATTCAGAAGCACGACAGACATTTATTTCGCGTTTTAATCATTTTAACGAGTTGCACGTATTAATAAGCATGTTTAAATTCTTGTCTAGTTATCACGATTATACTGTGTGCACGGGACTGGGCAACGGCCCCGAATAAACGATCGATGCTGAGCGATGCTGTCGAAAGCTCGCCAACTAATTTCGGATAAGTCCCCAGTAACAGCTGCCAATTAAGAGAACTGGCTATGAAATTTCCTATGAAAATAACGACGATATTGGCGACGGAATCGGCGACGAAGTTAGCGCGCGCCGGGTCACGAAGCTTTTTCATTTCCTCGGCGAGACCGCGAACGATTCGAAGTAATAGGGGATCCCCTGACAGGACTCGGCCGGGATTTCCGAGGACCTGAAAGCCCTAATCCAGCGGGTCTCTATCCGGAGAACGGGCGTGTGAGCCCAATACCGCCGAAGATTGAGAGTTTTCATTCGGATCTGCCGGGCTGATCTTCCATCCGGCTCGTTCCGGCTTTCGCCTAAGCCCGCGGACTTTTTAACTGCCGACAATGTACACCGTGAAAACGAAAGGAGATCTTATTTCCTGCGGTGAAAAGGATCTCCCTGTAATTTCGACGGTTCCGGATTACCGTGTTGGCCTGCGAGAAGCTGAAAGCTGTCCCCCGGCTAGACACAGAACGGAGAAACTAATCGACCGAGGAGACGTCCTTCCGGACCCGAAAGGCAGTATTCACGCCCATTATTCCATTAGCGAATGAACCGCTCAATTGTTTTCTGTTCCTCTTTTCCCCGTTCGCGCCACTTTCATCCGGACGGGGGCAACTCCGCCCGATTCGTATCGCTGCATCGCGATATTTTTATAGAAAGTTCCGGGCAAGGAATTCGAGATCGAATCTAATACAGTTTCGCTTCTGTTCGATTTCGCGAGCGTTTTCGAGGGGCCCGACTTCTGGCTTCCAAAACTCTTCAGAGACCAGTACAGTAATGTCTTCCTAACTGACGCTCAGATTGTGCAGAAAAAGGGACAATTTGGGAAGAGAAGATTGGATTATTCCAGCCTCGTTTTTATAGTTTTTGAGAATTAGTAATTATAAAAACGAGGCGCAAGACTCAAATCAATCGTATCTCCTCTTCCTAAATTGTCCATTTTTGCAGACAATCGGAGCGTCAATTGGAGAGACATTACTGTATTTTCGAATTTTTGCAGCGTGCGAGCAGGACTTTGTTGATAATTCTCTATTCGGGGGGGGGGGGCGAGTACAGCTGAAACTCGTTCCGTCGAACGCTTCCTCAAAGGCTCTTAATGTATGCTAAGACGCAAAAGCGGCTGACGAATAACAAATTAACTTTCTCATCGTGGGCGTCCCTTTACAAACACTGTTTTCTGACGCACGGTAAAACTTGTAATTTTTTAAGATGACAGCTCGCGCGAAGGACTCTCGCACGGACGGCGAAAGATTCGGACGAAACGCTGCTCCACGCTTCGAAAAATTGCTGTTAATTCAATGCGACGCACGGTGGTCGTTAATCATTGAGAATAGGACAAAATTACAAATAAGAAGTGACTTTGTAAATTGAAGGTGGTTGCGTAACTTGATTTATTGCTGCATGATACGTGTAATTTATGAGATTCGAACTGGTAGAAATGATTTAATTCTGCGTTCATACAGCACCAAGCGCAGCTGTTTTTGTTCTTCGCGAATGAAAAGCATATATTTATTCAGAATGTGATGATTTTTATCGTAACGAATGTCCACTGCAATGAAATTATATTCAATAAAATCCGCAGAAATGTATCACTACAATTTCAATAATCGTAAATTAAACGATTTGGTACACGACGCAGTAAATCTGTGGCGTGAAAATTTGAAATTGATTTTCCTCTGCTACGAAATGACTATGTTTCAAACTGTTTAGTAAACAAAAAATTAAATTTCACGCGTCACACAATTTTATGTAACAGATTCAATTTCTTGCGTGTTCCATAACTTGAATATTTCTACGAAACTTCATTGAAACATGTTGGAACGAATTGCATATTTATTGCTGCGCATGATTCGCTATTCCTAGCTGCGTTTAAAGAGTCCGAAAGCAGCTACGGCTTTTTCGCGGTTTGCTTAGTTCTATGTGCTGAAAGTCATAAATAAGCCCAACGACGCCCCCATTTTATAATCTCTCACAAGGGAAATATCTTAAAAAACACGAGTAATCCGAAGAAACGCTTTGAGGCGTGCAGATACGGAAAACCTGTCTTCGAACCTTCGCTTCGCGGGCTTTTCTTCGAAAAAGCGATTACGGTCGGCGATGACGTCAGATCAACAACCTTGTCAGGCTCGACAGCCTTGACACCGACCGATATTTGTGCCGCTCTCAAGAAAGATCGGCCACCGTGCGAGACGATTTCGCACGAGGATGTCCATCGGATTCCTCGGATACTGTCGAAGGTCCTCGGATATTATCGGACGTCCTCGGTCCCACAGCGAAATATCCGATCGCGATCCCATCGGCGACGTTGTTCATTAGTGTGCATTCACATTGATGCTCTCTGTAGCGCATTCACCGGTGGCTGTTCACTGTTTCAGGAGCCAGCACAGCAGGACAAGCTCGCCAGATTGAGGCACAGGCTGGACCAACAACAGAGCAAGCTGAATCGGCTGCGATTGCTCAGATCGCAGACCGACCAGTCGCGTGCCAACAACGCTACGCTGAGTAAGTCGATTAATAAGTCCGTTTCTAGATCCATTCGATTCGATTCCGCTGCCGGAGACTATGCACCTTTCTCCAATGAATTCGCTTACGAGAGAAAATTCGGTGAAATGGGGTAGATAGAGAGAGAGAGAGAGAGAGAGAGAGAGAGAGAGGAGAGGAGAGGGGGTGCCGGTCAATTTGGCGGAGAGATTTCGAAAGGCTGCGAGTTTGTTTGCCATGTGTTCGGTTGGGAACTAATCGCGGCGGGGTCGAACACAATTCCGGTTGTTCCATTCGGCGGATCCATTCCGCTAGGATAGTCTATAAAACGAGCGATGATAAACCTCGTTAATCCAATTCACCGGGAGCCCGGCAGCATATTGCGTTCGAAAGTGAAAGTTCGATCCCGGCGCGGCCGGAACGAAACACGGCGCCGAGGAAACAGAGAGAGAGAGAGAAAGAGAAGGAAAGAGAGAGAGAGAGAGAGAGAGAGGAGGAGGAGGAGGAAAGAGAGAGAGAGAGAGAGAGAAGTCACGAAGGGGAACGAAGAGGAATTCCCGGCCCGAGTCCTTTCGGTTATACGGCCACGGTGAATATCGATATCGCTCGAGCCGGGCAGACGCCGAGAACCAGCCCTTGGTATCTCGACAACGCCGAGTATCTCTCTCTCTCTCTCCCTTCTTCTCTCTCTCTCTCTCTCTCTCTCTCTCTCTCTCTCTCTCTCTTTCATTCCCTCCTTTCTTTCTCCTCTCTTTCGCAGAGGACCGGGAATGGAGCAGAGAAACGAGAGGCCGAGCACAACCGCGAATTCCCGCCGTTTCTACAGCGGGATCGAACGCCTCGTAAAAGGATACCGAACGATCGCGTCTCGAGCGCATCCCGTTCAATAAAGATTTCGCGGCCGGAATGGTCCCATTGAACTCGATCATCCACGGAGACGTTAATTCCGATGATACATAGAGCCCCAGCTTATAGCGGCCCGTTCTCCTTTTAGGCTGAATACTCGTCTGCTATAACTTCGTCCTTATTTAGATTTGTTCATCCTCACGAGCTAGACGGTCTTTGAAATTCCTCTACACTTGGCAATGCCATGACGGGTGGACGGAATTTTTTGTACAAGTTGCATGTATGCTAGTCGAAAGCGGCAATATTTCCGTGTAAAATCGATGTTCGTTGGTTGCTGTGCGATCTTTTGTTTGACCTGGTTAATCATCTTCGAAGCGGAAGCGATCCTTTCGATCATCGCCGAAACTTGCGTGTCACTTGTGCTGTGAAGTTGAATAACTCGGTCAAAAGAACGGAGGTCGGTCAAAGAAAGTACGATTACAGTAATGTCTCCCTAACTGACGCTCAGATTGTGCACAAAAATGGACAATTCGGGAAGAGGAGATACGATCATTCAAGCCTTGCGGCTCGTTTTTATGGTTGTTGACAATCGATAACCATAAAAAACGAGCCACAAGGCTCGAACAATCGTATCTCCTTTCCCAAAATTGTCCACTTCTGTGGACAATCTGAGACATGACAATTAGAGAGACATTACTGTATATACGAATACCGATTTTGCACTGGAAAGTGGTCACGTTCGATTGGTACAAATGAAATTCGTCGGAAAAATTTGGTCCTCTCCAGGTAACATGAATGTGCATACGTGTAAGATATGGAGTTTGGAGAATTCTGTTCGTTTTTGCAATGTTACGTGAAATGACATTTATGTGCGGCAGGATTCTTTGACCTAGTTATTCAACTTCGAAGCGGAAGATCTTTTAGCTAGAACTGCTTTGCTTCTGAGAACTGCACTGTACAATCTTCAACAGAGGCCAGACTTCTTCCCCGAAGATGCACCTGTTGCTTTTTACATTTTACTAACATCAATCATGTTTTACATCTCGCCCCGAAAATTCCCGAGATCTCAATGGACCAGCGAGTCGATCTAGAAGTAGACGTATGCGCAAGAGGTGTGCGACCCTAGCGGGACCGTTGGTTACCCAACGAGTCCGAATCGGCGGCGATAATAGTTTCTCCGGCTGAAACTTGGTTCAAGGGGCGGAGCACCGACGCGATAGCATTAGGAGAAATTTCGACTCGTTACCATCTCTGTGCTCGCTTCGACCCTTCAGCAACCAGCGTGAAGGGGTTCGGCAAGCGTTTCGATGTCTGCGCGGCTTCCGCCCTCCGTCCAAACTCCATCGTTCCCGGTCTCCTGTCCATTATGTTCGCAAGTTTTCCTATTCGGCCGAGGATGCGTCTTCCGAGGAGAATTTCTCGCGAGCGAGTTCGACGAGGGTGGGATCAGGGTGGTGAGAAGCGCAATCGAGCGAAACGCCGCGCCGAGCCGAGAATGGAGGCCCGAACAGCAGTCTTTTGATCGCGTTACGCCCAGAAATTCGCGTAATCTATTTCCTATAGAGCGCGGAACTCGCTCCGCTTCGTCAATAGCGCCACCCTCCGCTCCCTTCGCCCTCTTCGCCGCGAACTTTCCGCTTTCTCCGATCCAGCCCGCGTCTGCCAGCCTCCCATTGGCCCTTTTTATTTTCCCATTGTCGTGCTTTCGTGGTTGGAATAATTATAACGGGGCCGAAGAGGACCAGGAACGGGCCAGAAGTCGCCGAAGTGGCTCGAGGGTTCCCGGAAAATAAACCGACGGGATTGATCCGTCTCTGCCTCTTGCCACCGGACAGGGTAATTGAGTTCTGGCCTATCTGCGAGTCATAGCTACGGCTTGATTGCGAGATTGCTTGACAAACGTTTCGGCGACCCATCCCCGAACCACCCCCACGAAATGTCCTTCGCCGTGAGACAGGGGTGTGGCTTGTCCACGTGCAAATAACCCTAAACGTCTTCGGACCGTGCGTCTCATCCCCCTTCAGCCTTATTTCGAGATCGAAACGGAAGGACACTTAACACTAAACCTACCAAGGTCCTACATTTTTTGTTTAAAAGGTTCATACGTTACAACAAAACGGCGGATCTTTATGGAAAATAAAAGTTTTCTGTATTAATGGCAAGGAATAGGAACCATATTGAAAGTTGCTTCATCTTTTAATAATTTTAGTACAGTGACAATAATATATTGGCATTTTTCTTTTAATCTCACGACTATTTTAAATTTCACCTACTCTATTTTGTCATAACTGCATAAAATCCGCAGTCTAATTATATCAAACTTTATAACAAAAACGGCGAAAGGTCTAAATAAATAGTCTTTTCATCGCTATAAAGCAGTACACGTTAGTTATTTTTAGGTCTCGGTAAGTTTAGCGTCAACGATTAGGCCAAAAAGCGACCAGAAAGTGGGGCAATTAACCCTCTGGTGCACCATTTCCTTCACAGTTGCAACGATTAGAAGTTTTTCGACTGCAATAATTTCTTAGAAAAATAAAGACGATTTATTGTGTAAAACCTATATTTACTTGATCGCTTAAATATTGAGGACAGGAGATCAGAGTTTCATTTTTAAACTTAAAACAAAGCAGTAACCTTCATACTTAACATACACCTAGCACTTATTACTAGAAATCTCCATCGCGAGCCATACTCGTCAAAGTATGGCGAGGGATTTAAAGAATCGGTTGACTTTTGGCGAACAGTGGATTTTCTTCTAACTTCCTTCAATTTCGGATTTCGGAGAAGGACGCGCGACTTTGATACGCGTTCGTTCGACTTTGATACGCGAGTAATCAGCGGAAGAAGAGCAAGGGAAGAGTCGTAACTCGGCTCGGAAGTTAGTGCTATTAGGAGCTAGGAAAATACGCGAGGCGGAGCAGCGGAAACGTAAACTGTATTTGTTACGGGGCCAAGGGGTGAGTCGAGTTCCGCCGTCTCGGGCTGCGCGGCGAACCCCCCAAACTTTATATTATTCTGACCCAATATTCCTCCGGAACGGTCGACGTTTCTACGTGCAAGTACGTATTCATATTCGCGATCTCCCTGCCCGGAAAAGTTTACGGGCCACCCAGCTGCAACCATGTCGACTTCCGATTCTCCTCGGACGGAATCTCGGAGGGATTCCCCGAGCCTCGAGGATATGAAAAACTAGGGCCGGCTCGACCCCACGTTATTTTCACGATAACTGTCCGACATTACAAGTTAGGATCGTCGTTCATAAAATTTTGGAAATAATATTGGTAGGTCTAGTATTTTTTCAACTGGACTCCGAAGTTTTACATTGATCGAGTTACCATTTCCTGAAGTAAATTTTGACCCTGAACACGCATAACTCAACAAATTCAACCTCTTGGCAGATATATGGAAGACGTCGGTAGTTTTATATGCTATTTTAAACTTTCACGCCGATGAAATCCAAATCTTTTCATTTCGTCCACATTTTGGAGCACAGCTACAGCACCGATACAATTTTTAGAAGTTTTTTCACGAATTATAATGATTTCCAAATTTAATTAAATCCATTTAAGTTCGTTATTTAGTCTCTAACTTATTCTCGTAAACAATCTTACAAACGTAAACAAGTGTTTCTTTACTTATTTATGTTTGTTTCATTATTTTCAAACATAATCAACATGGATCAGGTTCGTGATACATTTATGAGAGAACGTGCGAGCGTACCCAACTTACGTCATAGATTAAGGTGTTAATTATTGCAACATCGTATAACAAATTTCCCAAACGATATTTTGGAACGTAAACGGTTCGTTCGGTTTTCAAACTTCCAGCCCTGTTCGGTTCAGTAAAATAAAATACGATCTTTGGAACGCATCGACTCGCGTCAAGGGGTTAAATATCAAGGAATCAAGATCCAGACATCGAGTTTCACATGTGGCTTCATAAAAATCTCCGACGTGTGCATAAAGTAAGATGGCTCCGTCACACTCCTTTCGGGCTCGTCCTAATTCGACGAAACGTCTCCACCCCCGGCGGGCTCTGATCCGAAATAAGAGTGGTCCTCCCGATCCTCTTAATCCCGAGGTTTCACGCGCGACTCGGTTTATTCGAAAAACTAGGAATCCCTTGAATTGAACGGACCTGGCAACGGGGACGCAGATTTTAATTAAAAGAAGCTA